CTCTGCCTTCAGTGGATGGCTGCGGATAAGTTCTCCCAGTAATACACGTGTCTTACTCTTGCTAGGGTGTCTTAAAAAAAAGTCCAATAAGCATAGTGGCTTTTAAACCAGTTAAATTTAAGGAGAGGTCAGTTAAGAAAATGACTCTCTTTTTATTCTGAAGGAATAATCTGCATATATTTTCTTGAAGGAAATAGGGCAATCACAGGGCTTATCATGAAGAAGAAGGTGTAAGAAAATTGAAAACTGCATTGGTGAGAAAAAGGCCAGGAAAATGGTGCTGAAGAATGTTTTCCCTCGCACAGAGCACCCGAGCATGCTTCATGAGCAGCAAGGGCTGTCTTGTGGGAACTTCACTGGGAAACCTGCCCGTCTACCATACAGCCATAGACTTTTCTCTTTTCTTTTCAGTTCACTCACCTATAACAGGTCTTTTATTCATTTAAGTCATTAGTGTAGTGAAATTAAACCTAAAGCAAACTTACTGTTATCGAGTACACTCTGCCTCACCTGGACCTTCTATAGGGTTTCTCACACTGACTCTTTTTTTGCTATTTCTCTTTTTAAAAAAATAGTTTTATTAGGGGCTCATACAACTCTTACCACAATCCTTACACACATCAATTATGTAAAGCACATTTGTACGTTCATTGCCCTCATCATTCTCAAAACATTTGCTCTCCACTAACCATAGTCTTACCTCTTCGTTTCTTTTCCCCTTCAAAACCAAAGAATATTTCAAGGATGCCCAATTTGAGGCCCCTGAGGAGTCAAAAATGTCATATTTGATGTAGTGCAAATCATAGAGCGGGCACTCTTCAGGGAGGGAGTAGAGAGATGGAAACAATGCCTTTAGAAGTATATAGACCTAGATGGAAGATATATCAAGCAACTGTAGCTTCACATTCTTGACGTTTGTGTTTAATAAAGGGTTCTGTGATTTTTGTAGCAGTACTTTTTTGATACACCCTAGTATGTATGTATGTGCTGTGTATTTAGTGCATAAGTCTTCAAAGAAAAAGCGTGAGGGCCTTCTTGTGGTAGTGCTTCTATCCTGCTCTCTCTGTGGTCTCAGGTTAAATTCTGAATGGCGCTGGGACCCTTTAAGGGAAGGAGAGTGGCAGAAAAGAAACGAAGGGTGGTGACTGAGCGCCTTGGGGTTGAAACTGCTGGTGGTACTCCCAGAAGATACAGCACACGTGGCACTGTCTTTTCTAAGTCTTAAACTAAAGTGACATTTTGCATTTAGAGGAAGCTTAGAATTTTATTACTGCTTTAAAAAAAAAAATTTTTCCCCCTGTGGCTACTGTGTTTTTGCCTTCTCCTTAGTTCCAATGTATTTTATGTACTTCAGTTTTATAGCTATGTTCTATTAAATCAGGCAACATTTGGTTTTCCTGGTGCGTTTAGGAGAAGAAAGACTGCACAAAACCCTAATTTACTGAAAACTCTTATGAATGCCCGAGCATGTCACTTATGAAATTATGAATTGGAATGTCCAATACTGGTATCTACAAAATATTTTAAAAACATATTGTAACTAATAAAGCTAGTTAGTAATTTAGAAATTTTCCATGTTACGATTAGCTTCTGAACTTCTAATTTTGTTATAGCTTGTATTTAAGTCATACTTTGTGGTTGAAAATATACACAGTCAAACATACACCTATTTAGTGATTTCTTCATGTACACGTGCCATTTTGTGGCATTGATTACATTCAGTTGCACATCCATTTTCAAACTTTTTGAGTCATAGCTCCTCCATTAACATAAACTCACCGTTAAGTTTCCTGCCTAATCTTGTGAGTTGCTGTTGTCAATGTGAGCCTGTGTATATCTTTAAAAAGAGGGTCATTCTGAATTTAGATATTTTTACTAGTTCAGCTGAACTGTAGTATGGTTTTACAAGACTTGGGGGATATTTTTGGTTTAAGGTTTGAAGATTGTTTTAGGAATTGATCCATCCTTCATGGCTCCAAGAACTCTGGATTCTGTGATAATCTGAAATTTTGTTCTGCAGTACCCTCCTTTTGATTATAGTTCTTCTGTGGATCAGTATGTTTATTGTAATGGTAATGGACACCATCAAGTTTTTCTGGTCCCTTGGCAAAGGAGGCGATTGTTCAATCCAAAATCATCCTCTGTTCTAGACTTTCCTTCTGTTGCTCCAAACAAATAGCAGTTGTGCTTTCTATGACTACTTGCAATCTTTTAAGACTATAGGCAGTATGCAAAAAAAAAAGAGATAACTGAAGCACTAAACATTGTTGGTATGCTAGTTAACTGGAATTATGACCCTACACCTCCAAACCAAAAAAACTAAATACAGTGAAGTTTGTGGTTACATATAAGCAGCTTCAACAGCTATTCTGTTGTTGTCATGAAGATATCTGTAGCACAACTTGACCAATTCAAGTTATTCCAAGGTGTCCAAATTATGGACAACAATTAGAACAAGCATCTGTGTAACACTAACCTTAATCAATGTAATTTTCCCATCATCACTGTCCTTTTTTACCTTACCCTCTTGCCCCTCAAAAAACCTCAAAACTCATTGCCACTGCGTTGACTCAGACTCATATGGAGAGTAGAACTGCCCTGTGAGTTTCCAGGCCGGTAACCTTTAATGGACACGAAAGCCTCGTCTTCCTCCCATCTTTGCCCTGTTACCACTAGTCTTTATACACTTGCCTTTTCTTGTCATTCTTATACCAGCGAGGTCATGCAGTACTGGTCCTTTTGTGGTTGACCGTTTCACTTAGCATTATGTCTTCTAGCTGTGTCCATACAGGAGCATAAGTCCAGACTTGTCTCTTCTTCTACTGACTGAGTAGTGCTTTATATAGATACTGCATTTTGTTTATTCAACTGTTGGTGGTCACTTCAGTCGTTTCCATCATTGGAGTATAATGAATCGTGCTGCAGTGAACATTGATGTAAAAGTATCTGCTTGCGCCTCTGCTTTCAAGTCTTAGGAGTCACTTGGAGTGGAGGTCCCTGGATCTCATGGTAGTTTCGTCTTCAGTTTTGAAGGGATCATAATATTGCTTTGCACAGCAGTTCTATCGTTTTGCTTTCCCATCAGCAGTGGGCCAGCATTGTATTATCTCCACACTCAACAGCTCTGAGAGCATATTATCTTACAGGGTGGACTGTTAACTGCAAGTCAGCAGTGGGAAACTACTAGCTCTCCTGCAGGAGAAAGATGAGGCTTTCTAGTCCCCGAAACATTTACAGTTTGGGAGAGCCACTGGATTCTATAAGTGATCCTATTTGGATCCACAGTGATCTTATTTGAGAGTGAAGTGGTATCTCATTGTGATTTTGAGTTGCATTTCTCTGATGGTTGATGATATCGAGCATCTTTTTATGTATCTGGGAGCCATTTGATTGTCCTCTTCAGTGAAATATCAATTCAAATCCACTTCCCATTTTGTTATAGCTTATCTTTGAGTAAAGATAGTGAAGAATAGAGGAATACACATTTGTTTTAAGATCAAACCTGAGTTTTGTCTGATATTGGGTTCTTGGTTTCCTCAGTTAAAAACAGGACACTTACCTCTGGTTGTAGTTAGTGATTTACATGAAATAAATATCTTACTTGAGTGTAGGTAAGTTCTCTTCCATTTCCCACTGCGCCTCCTTATCTCTACTAGTAAGAGTATCTTTCCTCTTTAACGATCCCAGAGCAACCCTTGAAAAGTGTATATTTCTAATAATAAAATTAGAGGTAAAAAAGGAATATGGACAGTATAGAAGACGGTAAATAGGGGCAAGAGCCCAGCTAAAGCACTTCTTTAGCTAAATCAGTTCTTCAAGTTGAGTTATGATGAAGTCTTTCTGCTCACATGGGGCTGTTGTAGGTCAGTAAGGCATTTCAGGAGCGGGGCTTTTGCTTTGTTTCTAATTGTTTGTTTCAATAGCCTTTTGGCTCTCTTGGGTGACTCTGCCTCTAAAACTTTCCCAGTGTTTCTTGTCTTTGTGTTCTGTACTTTTTCCTTCAATTGTCCCTAGTTAGTAAAGGGGAAGTATGTAGCTATCTTAGCAGTAAGCTGGGAGATGACGCACACATACTTCTGAGACAGTAATGGTTATGATGGCAGAATGATGAGCTCCCCACACAGTAGCTTGGGCCAGTCTATGTCTGAGGAGCTGGTTACATTGTTAGATGGCAGCACAGAACTTTCTGACCATTGTTGAGTATTTCATGGGATGTCCTTTTGCTGTTGCCAGTGTGATTCTTGCAGCTATGCTTGGGTACTTCTGCTGTTGCTCACATTGCAAACTGCGGAGAGCTGGTTTCTGAGCCGATGGTTTTTGTAATGGTGTGTTTGAGTCATGGTGTGTGTGTGAAAGAGACTAAGAAGGGCTTCAGCTCTTTGATTTGAAGAAAACCCGTTAGGTTTTTAATTTATAGTTGTAAGGGGAAAGAAGACCCTTGAAATCTCCTCCCCGAATTAAGGTTTATGAAATTCTGCTGCAGGGATAATCCTTGTAAAAGCTTGAAGATTTTCCTGTATACCTCAGATTGGGCTCAGATAAAGGGAACAAAATGGAAAACACAGAAATTTGTTTTCTTTTGCTTGGGTTGACTGCTCATTTTGCTGTGTATCTACCATGTGTTGTTAGTTGTTTTAGTTTTTTGTTTACAGCATATTTAAGTCATAAGATTTAATGATTATTTTTAATTTAAAGCTGACTTTTATTTCATTTCATTTTATTTTTTTGGATTATAAAAGTATTTTTTGGTTTCTCTCTTTTTCCTCCTCCTATTTCTTCTTATTTATTTATTTATTTATTTATTTTAAATCATTTTATTAGGGGCTCATACAACTCTTATCACAATCCATACACACATCAATTCTGTAAAGCGCATTTGTACATTCATTGCCCTCATCATTCTCAAAACATTTCCTCTCCACTTAAGCCCCTGGCATTAGGTCCTTATTTAAAAATTATATGGAAAAATATTGTATGTGTAATGCTGTATCTGTTTTCAGGTCCAATGATGCATCAGCAGCCTCCGTCTCAACAATATAATATGCCACAGGGAGGTGGACAACATTACCAAGGGCAGCAGCCACCTATGGGAATGATGGGTCAAGTTAATCAAGGAAATCATATGATGGCTCAGAGACAGATCCCTCCGTATAGACCACCTCAACAGGGTAAGATTCCATTTTTAAAATGTCCTGCTTAACATAAGGAAGGCCTTACGTTTTACTAAGCTTTTGGTTTTTAAACATAATTAGATGCAAAGTTGGGGTCTTTTTCCCTGACTCCCTCTCCCCCCAAAAGATAGTCAGTAGAGTAGGTACAAAGGGTCATGTAATGGTTAGGAACTTTATAGCCTTATTTTATTTATCCTTGGGAAAATTTATATACCCATATACTTGAGTATAAGCTGAGTTTTCCAGCACATTTTAAAATCAGTTTTTGTGGTGAAATTAGGTGCCTCGGCAGATATTCGGGTTGGCTTATACTGGAGTATATACGGTTTTTCTAAATTGGTATTGTTTGATACTGCATGTATGGTCTTCACATTAATTTTAGTGAAATGTGTTATTGGAGCTATGTGTGTATGTATGAATGTGCATAAGAAGAGTTAAAAATATTTGAAGTGGCAGAGAATGGGTGGGGAGGCTACAGCTGAGAAATAACCTCTCATAACATCAGATTAGAAAGCAAGTCTTTGATGACATAGAGAACAAAGTATTTACATCTTGACTGGTTGTGGTTTTTCAGGCCCACCACAGCAGTACTCAGGCCAGGAAGACTATTATGGGGACCAATACAGTCATGGTGGACAAGGTCCTCCAGAAGGCATGAACCAGCAATATTACCCTGATGGTAATTTCTCCTAATGTTAACTTTCCCATTTTCTATCCCTGCCCAATATTAATGGAGATAGCTATTCAAAACATTTTAATGGGGATGAAGAAACAAAGTATCTGTTTCTTCTAAATTTAGAAAAACTTTTAAGTAATTGATAACATCAATGATAGCATTTGTTTATAACTATATTTTGTGTAGCTATTCCATATTAGTACCATCAGGAATCATGTTCTCATTAGAATCCTATATCAAAGAGGGCCCTTTCATATTCAGATTTCTTCATTTCAAGCAAACCAAGTATTAATTTACTGTTCTTTTAAATAGCCATATTATCCAGAAATTGTTGATGTACCATAAAGTTCACTCATTCATTTACATTTATTTATGCATTGTATGAACACATAAAGAATATAATTCTTGCATAGTTTCCAAATTTTGTTATATACTTCTCAAAGAACAATGGTTTAAATACATTAACCGTTTGGAAAAAAATTTGGAAGCTAAATCATATGTGTAGCAGAATGGGAAAGGCATTTAGAAACCAGATTTTAATATTTAATTTTTTAGAATTTTATTTTCAGTGACTTGTGAAAGGTGGACAGTAAAGATGTATACTACACTTTAAGAAAGTCTTTAGAGGTAATAAATCAAGCACACATAAGAGATTTTCACTGTATAGTTCTTTACATTTTCTTATGTTCTTGAAAAATTTAAATAAAATATTGAACAAAAAATGATTGGATTCAAACATGTAAAACTGCTAATTCATTATTCAAAGTGAAAAACAACTCACATTGCTTTGAAAGGGTTTGCCAAATGCTTGCTATAGCTAGCACCCTGTGTGTATTTACTTAACAGACACTTGGGAAAGTAAGAACTTTTAAGGTGTTGGGAGCCATTGATAAGAAGTTAATGTAAGTCAGGATGATATAATTTGGTGTATTTAAAAAGTAATTTTGCCCACCATTTTCTATAAATGCACAAAGGAGAACGGTATATTAGTACACGTGTTTTTCACTGCAGAGGTTGTGGCCTTGTAGGCAGAGCAGATGCTCACTTGTCGACGTCTTTGCTCACAATAGATGTTTATTAGGAGTGGAGATGATAGGTAAGGGATAATAGTGCTTAGAGAACCGATGCATATTTTTACAGATTTTTTACACTGAATTATTCAGAATGTTTTTTCTTTTCTTTTTTCCTTCCCCATGTAGATATGCTATTAAGCTTTTTGAAAGAGTAGACTATAGATTTTTTTAAAGAGGCAAAATTTACTGTGTTAAATTATATATATGTCAGGAAGTCTGAAAACTTAATGCTTAATTGTTTAGTTTTTTAAATGCATATTAAGTAATTGAGTTAAGCTTGATATTGTTATTTTAGTCCTACCTCCTGATAAATGTATTGTTATGAATATAACCTTTTGGTTAAAAATAGATAATATTTTCCTAAATATATAAGCTTTGTCTATTATCTTATAGTCAAGGATTATTGATTTAAAAGTTATTTTTTTGTAGAGCTGTGCATTCTTCTATGTCTGACATATTTATTACATCAAGTATTTTTCATAAATGGCTATTTTCTCTCATTTTGTCTAGATATTTATATCAGAAAATATTTGGAGTCAGTAGGTCTGCTGTAAAGTCCTAGATAGTAAATTTTTTAGTCTTTGCAGGCTATCTATTCTTGGTCTCAACTACTGAACTCTATACTTGTTAGTGGAAAACAGCTATAGACAATATGTAAGTGAACAAACATGCATACATGCTAATAAAACTTTATAAGAATAGAACAGCAACTGTATTCAATCTACTGGTTATATTTTATAAACTCTTGAAAATGTATTTGTCAGGTGGTTTGGGAATGTTGTGGAATGTTCAGGTTCTAGAATACTGTGACGTGTGTTTATCATATTCCCCATGGGTCACCATGGTCAGAGGGGGCTTGATGACAGTGGGTTTCTCTCCTTAGGCAGTTTTGTAACTTCCCGTTCATTCTGACTTAGTTAAGTCATTTCTGCATTTTCTTTGTGAAGTTTACTTAAAAAGCTAAGAGTATTATTTTTAATCAATTTCTAGATTATCTTGCTGATGACATTTATTGTTCTTGGAAGCAGCATATAAGGGGTTTTTCTTTTTGGGGCTGTTTCTTAGGTGTTGGAGTGACTAAGCTGAAGGCATATGCTAGTACTTAAAACAATATTAATTTTACAAAAATGTATCCTTATGGTACTTAAAACCTTTTCTAATGACAAAATGCAACATTAAAAATAATTTTTGCATCTGAAAATACTTTGGTGTGTATCTATATACTTTATGCAGGTAAATAGAATGTAAAAAATATGTTTCAGTTTCTTTCAGGGGAAAAAACTTTCAGAGCTCTTTTATATTTTGCATTGTTTTTAGCATATGCTGTGGAATTGGAGATCAGCAGAACAGGTGTTTGACAAAATATGATAATTGCTTCCTTTGTTCATTTTAATTTAATTCAGGTTATTTACATGTGAAAGGCCTAAATGCTTTCATTCTCTTCTTTAAAAAAATGGAAAGATAAGGGCCCCCCCATTCAGTGAGGATTATCATAGTTAAAACAATAAGTGTAATGTTTCTAAAACTAGTGCTCTTTGCTTAAAAAAAAGGAAATGCACGTTGTCTCTATATGAAAACAATCACATTGGTAAATATTTGGCTATTGCAATTGAAATTTTTTTATGTATTTCCAGTTCATTTTCTCAATTTTATCTGAAAAGTTTAAATATTTTTAGGGTTTTTCCCTCAGTGGCCATTAACGTTTCTTCCTGTCTCTTGTCGAATTGATGTAGGTCATAATGATTACGGTTATCAGCAACCGTCGTATCCTGAACAAGGCTACGATAGGCCTTATGAGGATTCCTCACACCATTACTACGAAGGAGGTATCTATATACCTTCACACACACACACACACACACACACACACACACACACACACACACACACCCTTCTATAGGTACGGGAATTCTTGCATAAGGCCATTTCTCCCCATGCAGACCTCTCGTAGAATATTAGCGCTGGCTGTCTTAAAGTTATAGAGAGCCTCAAACAATCACAACCATTTCCGTACAAATATTTAAGTCTATAACCATGACTTGTCATTTCTAACAACAGTAAAAAGACTAAAACATTTACAAATAATTTTCCTCAGTGGAAATTTTCTGTTTGAACATAAACCCATTGATCCAATTTATTTTTCTCATGTGTGTTTACATATATATATAATTTTACATACAAGTATAGTACCTTTAGGAAACAGCTTGCTGATCTTGTGTAGCTAGTGTGTGCTCTTGTAGCTGTCTTTAATTTTGTCTTTTTTATTTTATTTAGCATAGTCATGATCTTATGACTGTGATGTTCCAGTAAATGTAATGCTCGTATGGCAGAGGCGCTGAAAATGCTGCAGTTCAACCTTGCAAATTGGCTTTAACTGCAGTTTGTTTGGCCGAAATCCTTCTGTTTGGTTTGAGTTTTTCCTTTGTTTTGTTAACTTTTAAAAATCAATATGGCATTTCATTTTGTTCTTGTGTTGTTGGCTATGCATTCTAGAAGAAGAGAGTTAATTAAGCAACTCTCTCAGGTTGTTTTTCCTCTGCTCCAATTATCCTGTAGGAAACTCACAATATGGCCAACAGCAAGATGCCTACCAGGGACCACCTCCACAACAGGGTTACCCGCCCCAGCAGCAGCAGTACCCAGGGCAGCAGGGCTACCCAGGACAGCAGCAGGGCTATGGTGAGTAGCTTACTGCAGTTCATTTTTGTCACAGGAAATGTGGTGACTATTGCTTTAAGCTAATGGAAATAGTATTTCTTTTTCTAAGAATTACCACTTTTGAAAATGCACTACTTTAGTTTGCTTATATTTAGAATATTTATTTAAAATGTTATTCTTAGGTAAAATGGATAGGTCATTACCTTTGTATGTGCTTAGAAAATATGGGTGATTGTTAACCACATCTATATAATCTGCTTAGCAAATTTTTTTACTGTTAATATGAAAACAAAACAAAACATTGCTTTTTAAAAAAGTGTGGCCATATTTTTAAATACACTCACAATGCCCTGGTTGCACAGTGGGTAACAAGTTGGGCTGCTAACCACAAGATCGGTAGTTCGAAACCACCAGCAATTCAATGGGAGAAAGATGAGGCTTTCTGTTCCTGTAAAGACAGCCTACTTTGTATTATAAGGCATTATAATCTTAACTATGTGTTGTATTATAACTTTGTATTATAACTATGTGTTGTAGTTGACTGAATACAGTGTGAATGCATAAGTGTTAATGTCTATTTAAGGACTTGGCTTTGCTGTCAGGTAAGTGTTGGACTGTTAACTGCTGGTCAGGCACTTTAGATTCATCAGCCACTGTAGGTTATCTGCTCCTGTAAAGGTTTAAAGCCTCAGAAGCTGTGTTAGCCTGGGTTGACTAGAGAAACAAAT